TCCAGAAATGGAACCACCTCAAGATTTAGTTCCGAACTCTGCCGTAGCTCGAGTAACAGTGACAGAAACATCGACACTTGGATTCTGTCTTAAATTAGTAACTGCTTCCTTTAGCTTCTCCTTCCTTAAGAGTGTTCCTGGAGAACAAAAAGTTATTTCATACTTCAATTCATCCTACAGTGTGAAGCCACCCGTCCTTATTACACGGCTCTATGGCGTTTTTATATTTTTTCTTGTTTCATTTGCGGTTCCACATCTCGTGGTATTTTACGCACGTAGATCACAGCGGCTGTTTCATTTGCGGTTCCACATCTCGTGTTATTTTACTCAAGTAGATCACAGCGGTGAGGCAACCATAATTTTGTAGAAGAATCATCAGTTCTGTACATTCAGTGCAGAACATTATCCATTCGGATCTTCGGAGTAAAATGTTTCAGAACAGTAAATTTTAGAAGATCTTCCGGTGTCTACTTCTCTTCAAATCCTTTAATTTATATAACGAGGCAAGCAAGAACGATACGTTGATCATCATGAAATTCGGTGATCAATTTCATGAATATGAATCCCGCTAATACAAATGTTGATTCTAACAGCGTTTAAGTAGGCCTATATTAGATATAATTTTGGAGATTCTCGAGGTCGAGATGTTTAGGCTATAATATTTAAGATATCAAATAATTTCATACGAAATATGTAGGGATATTTACGTTTAATCTCTGTACAAGGTTCACAAGTGTAGTATTGTCGCAGTTAGCACTATCAAACTGACAACTAAACGCGGATTTCACCGGTCGCTGTGTTATTCTACATTTATAAACTTAGTAGCATGCTTTCTGAGGTTATGTTAGCAGACAAAAAATTTGGGAACTTAAAATAAATGTCGCTAGTGTCGTTTCTACCTCAGAATTTCTTTCGGTCACAATGATGTATGCAAGTGGTACCGTCGGTAGTGGCGTGATGTTCATAACATGATTAATTAAAAGGAAATTAGGCAAAAGGCCGGTCTTACATACATAAAAGAAAATAATTTTTATTATCTCATTATAAAATATATGATGTAAAAAGTGTATTCTTATAATTCCTACTATGACATATTCACACTAAAAATTTGCAACTGCGTGGGTCTAAACGTTATACGTTTCTCATCATACCACACAATGTGGGAATGTTTTAAATTCACCAAAAAAAGAATGTCTCTGCGTTTACACTAAGAATTGATTTTTCTGGCACTTATTTAAGATCCAACCGTTAACCCACCGAGTACCAGAGTTTTCTTCTCCCAAAATAAACACAAAATAAAATATAATGTATTCTAATTGCTTAGTCGGTATGAGTTTCAAATTAACATAGACAAGCTCGGACAGTGCATTCCGTGCTATTAAAATCCGCCTTGTTCAACAGTTCCTACTTTGGTCACCAGATCGCAGCTCTTCAATTTCTACCTCACGAACTCCCTCATCTTTAATATTTTTAACACCGCTCGTAGAATATTTAAAAAGCACGGTTTTGAGGTTATGTAGAATAGCACAACATGAAATAATGCTGATGATTTGTCCTGGGCGTATGGTTATATTCCACAGCGAGAGACGTTGTAGGCTATAGTTCGCTTGGACATTTATTTTCACTGTTAGATGAGGGAGTACGTAGAGAAAGTGTCGTTAAGGAAACAAATCTTCTACTGTGTAGGCTTAAACAGTCTGCGAAATTTCGGTAATAATAATACATAAAATCAGGATCTCTTTGGTAAATAGGTTTGGAATTTTGAAAACATATTTAACGTTTAAATCCATATGAAGAGGGCACGTCATCACTTTGGGACGTGATGAGATTACTGGGAACGAAGGGTAGCCTACAGGTACGATATAGGAAATTTTTAAGAAGTAGCGGTCTGCCGATAAGGGTTTTCCAGAATTATGAGCTAAGAATCCACTGTAAATCTAGTATTTGCCTCATGGTCACAAATGGCCTCGTATTTGATGTTCCAATGAAGACCCTTCGAAATAGCGTCTAGGAGAGGAAGGAAAGTGAATGGGAATTTTAAATTTACATAAATAATTTTATTGCTATATATAAATATGTATTTCACAATAACAACATAATTTCCTACATATCTGAAGTTAAAAGATGGCTGTCTTTATAGACTGTAGCGCAGTGTAATTCGATAGAAGTTTACTAACGTTTCTGGGGTCCTTGCTGCCTCCATCATCCTTTGAAACATTGGCAAACTTCTATCAGACTACAAGGCGCTACAGCCCAGAAGACAGCCAACTTGGGCGTTACTGCCGTAGAAATCCCAAATCCTACTGTATATTTAGTTAATTTAAATACCCAAATGTATGTGTTTATCCTAGGTACAGCGGTGAAACTCAAGTAATTCTGTGTTGCTCTAATCAAGTTTTTTGTGGTTGTAGTTTTTTTTGTAAAGTTATCAGATTAATGTAATGCAGATACTAAGTAAGGATGGCAGGGTGGCGTTTTCTATGATAAATTGACATTTAAATATTAAAATAATATTTCCATTTCTAAGAAAATTTAATTTATTCCCAGTAATGTACAGAATTATTATTTATAATCATTATCATATTTGCAGGTACTGAGTTCACATATACATTCATTATGAAATAAACCATTCATAAAGCTAATTTGTTGTTGATGGCGTAATAGTATGTTATTTTGGAGACTTCGTACCAGAGAAATTTATTTATTACGGATATATGTGTGACAACTAATGAATGAAACTCGCGTTGTATTGTAAGCTCCTGTAATTGCGTGTTTTGAAGTTAATTATATTCTGTACTAAAAAGGTGTACCGTAAACTTGGACCTGTTTAAGTTTTGTAACAAAATACCAGCTTATACTTAATAATTATTTTATTTCGAAGACAAAAGTAATTAATTGTATTTTCTTTGTCTCATGCTGATTTCTTATGCTAAAATAAACGTAAAACCTGTTAGTGAAATGCGCCGATGTAGTTGGCTTACCGTAGTTACGTGGATGTTGCCAGACCTAAAGAAATAAATTTAGAACTGTAAATCGGTGTGACGGATTGAGGGTATGGAGTGCCGCGTGTAGAGCTAAAGTTGACTCTATGTATAGAAAAATCCCATCTTAACCATTAAATATTCAATTCCTACCTCAAGGAGAACACCATTACATTACATAAAGAAATTGTTTGAAATTATCGAAAAAAATAATCGTTGTTTATTCTGAGAATCATAAGAAATACATAAATACAATGTGATTTGAAAATACAGAGTTTTTAACGGTCATGTAATATTTGTTAGTTACAAACAGAATGAAAACTTATGTTAGGAAGCTAAAGCAGCCAATAAGATTTTAATTAAAAGTATGATTACGTGTATGAAGATATGTAAAAGTTTGGTGAAGACATATAGCAGAGGTTAGTTAACTCTGGATTAAAAATGTGCGTTGCAAAGACAAATCGGATGCTAGAGAGACAACATTGAGGTGTTTGACTATCCGAAGTGCTAAGCTGTTTATCACTATGCAAATAATAATAAAAACCTGTTTTATTATTAAAAATTAGTGACGTCATGACGCAGATAAATCGCGGGTTAACTCTACTCAGTGTTGAGAATGTGAAAAGAATTGGCTATTATCGAAGAGTTTGATGGCGATTGAGATTTTCATGGCGGTGAGTCTGAAGATGGCTGTCTTCTTGGTTGTGAATTGTCCGTCGAAATTTTCAGACAGTGGTGAACGAGTTATATAATGGTAGAATTTCCGCACGTATTATTTCGAAGTAAAATGTAATTGATACATTATTTGCAAATTTTATTTCGTTATTGAACCGAAAGTTACGTTCTTTGTGCAAGGTCTTAATTTAATACAAAAAAATTTGTCTATTTACATGCTTATACGGACATCATCACAATAAGCTCCGTAGAAATGTCGGTTAATGTCCACCAGAGTACAAATTGTTACATTCAGAAGACGGCCATTTTTATACTCCTCGATGAAAGAACCTCAAAACTCGTCAACATTACGTTGTATGGGCATATATATAAATATACATACACAAATAAATATACGTATACATATGGTGCCCCAACGTCCAAATAAAAATATGTGTGTGATCTAGCAAGACAAATTTTGACCTCAAAAAACGATTATAAAATATTTATGTTAAATTATAAATATATAAATAAAGGTAAATGTAAACGATTTCATGTCGAAGCATAAGGTTGTGGAGGTTTATGGTGTGATGAATGTACCTTCACACATGATCTGTTGACACTTGCTGGTGGCGAATCGCGGGCTTCACGTTTCGGTTGTTTTTATCACTGGATGCTTGGACAAATAGAAATACCAGTGCTCCTTCGGATAAAACAGTCTGATGTATTCTTCAATGTTCATAAAGGACATTGCATGTGGTTCACAGCGAATTAGAATTTGACTTGTTCTGAATGAAGAACAG